GCTCAAAGAGTCGCAATGGCCGAGTGGTCAAAGCATTAGGCAGGCAGCCGAGAGGGCCCGGGTTCAAGTCCTCCTCGGCCGTAAAGGATTTTTAATTTTTTTTTTATTTAGTATTTTTTATTACTTTTATTTTTTTACAATCTTTAGATTTTAATGTTTAAAAAACAATAAAATATATATATTTTTTTTCAATACATTTGTATGATATTAAAGGATTTTGGTGTATTTCCTAATGAAATTCTTTTCGAAGTTTTTCCTCCATACTTCTATTTTTGTGACCGGCTCTTAGCCAGCTGACAAATTAGTGACTTAATTTTGAGACTAGAGACGTGAGACAGCGTACTGAATACCAAATAGTCTCAAAATCCAAGTTCACCACCAAAAGTCACTATTAGTGTCTAGAGACCGCTTACTGAATGCCAGGGTAAATGTATCTTATAGCTGGGCTGCAGATGTTTATGCAGAAGTGCGAAGCCTAAAAATATGTACTACTTAAATATGTTTAAGCGGCATGTACATATGTCTACGTTTGTCTCGATTTTCTTTCCATGGCTGCCGAATAGAAGAAACTTTTCACCGAATCATGGCCCGGACAGCGTAATCGAATTTTAGAAATAATTTTGGACATAGTATTTACCAAAATTAGTTTTGCAAATACATGCGACGTTAATAATTGCAGAGAAAACGCTTCAAGGTTTTAGCCACGTTTTTCGCATTGAACAATGTAATTAGTAATTAAAAAACAAAACCAGGATAATCTTAAAATTTAGTCCAGAGGGTTTAGCCAAACCTAACTTACACTTTGTAAGACTTTGAAAGGACTTTTTCGTTAAAAGAAATTGACGTTATTTCTTTCCGGTCGTGTTTTTGCAAAATTTCAGGTCCCCAGTCCTTACTTATGTGGGATAAGAAATAATTGATTATTCCAATGAATGCATTTTATATGCTTTAGATATATTATTAGATATTTTCCTTTAGGAGATAAGTTAAACAAGGAAATTATTTTATGGTATTTTCGCTTCTACCGAAAAATGTCGCCTTTTGATTGCCCCTTTCTCTTTTCGTGTTCGATTCTAAAATAAAGGCAAACGGAGCTAAAATTTTGTGTTCGTTTCTTAACATGTCATACACTTGGAACTGGCCGTCTCCACATGATAAAATTTGTCCCGTCCAGCTGTAATTTCGGCTGCTAGATATAAGTTATATCAGTGTCAATATTTGTGTGGGCTTTTTATTTCTTGAATGAGCATTTGTAAGATGGCTTCTAAAACGTATTTTTGCCGGATTTAATTGCTTAAAAAATTTAGAAAATATGCCATTTCATATCCATATATATATTGCTCATGAAGAACAATGAGCGGGTCTCCATTGGCTATTTATATTCTAAGATATGTATCAAGATATAAACTTATCCTGTGGAGACTGGAAGTAAGGCACATTCTCTGCCCTTTGAAGCTTCGCCAGGGAAGAAGGTTGCCCTGAAAATCAGATGGTTGCTTAAAACGACAATATTATGAAGTACGTGAGCTGGACAGGACAAAAGACAAAACATGCCCTTTTACAGGGGTGAATATAACATCAAACAAATTTTGCACTGTGGGAGGGCAACATTTTTTGAAAGAAACGAAATCACCAATAGTCAGCTGTCAAAGCGACGCCAACGCCAGCATAACGAAGCGCTTTAAATAATACACTGCATTCAAAAGATTTTAAGGTGTAAAATTTATTAATCTGGCCGCACTGAGAAAAACACACACAAGATTGCATGGCGACGAAAAATACCCCGCAGGAAAATGTAAGAATATATATATCTTCGCTACTATGTCAAACTATCGAATGTGCAGAAATGCTTTTTCATTTACGATACCTTGCGCATGCGTTTTGAATGATACGTTGGTTGGCAAATCGACGAATTTCTAGTCTTCTCAGCAGCAACAACATGACAACAACATTCTTTACAAGTTTCTTTGCTCTCCTAAAAAGTACCGATTTCCATTTTCGATAGTTTGACATGGTACCGACGATATCTCTGATGCAATTTTAAACGTTTGATCGAATATGAATATAATGTGCAGTACCAGTACGAAATTGAAATGAATTGCATAAATTATTACTGCGATTTATGTCAAGGTTCTAGCTCTAGCAAGTGACTACTAACGGTCCGATTTTCGTGAAATCGTAAGTAAATGTGATCACAGAATCCGAATTCCAACGAACGTCGTATGCGTTCAAAGTATATTCTAGTTCATAGCTATTTGAATTTGGTCAGCGTTGGATTCAGTGATACCCCTGATTATAGAGTCGTTTCAATATTGTCAATTAGTACAGTACAATAACTGTTTGGTTCCGGGATAGTTTCAATATGCAAGAGAGTTAACGAAACTTAACACACCAGAATTTTGAGACCACGTTCGAAACTGATCTCTTGCGAAAAATTTGCCCGAAACTGCTGTCAATTCTTTGCACGTGACAAATAATTAAGCTTAACTGAATTCAAATATTTATTTCTACATACACTTAAGATTACATAATTCTTTAATGTAGTAAGAAAATATTTAAAGTAAGTTTAAAGTTTATAGGATGTTTAGTCATTTGAATTCTGGCTAGCGATTCCTACCGTGTATTTAAACATATACATACGTGAGAGCCGAGTGGAGCACTCGTTGAGAGACTGATAAGTGGTTACCACTGTTTTTGTTTTCCCATGAGTTCTCAAAAACAAAAGTACCTACCTACCTATTTGCAAAAAGTTTTTCTTATTAAAGAAGTAATGCCCCGTCAGAATGGGTACTTTGCGTACGTTCCGCTCAAGGATGAAACTGACAGTTGAGTAAACTGTGTGTGTTTGCATAGAGAGCGTCAGATTGAGAACCCTTGCGTTGACGGACCCAACGAACGTTGGCCAACACTCAACTTTTGACGCACGTCATTCCGTCACTGCTGAAATTT